AAAATTCTTTAAAAACATATATACATACTTAAGAAAACTATTATTAACACTTAAAAATAAATAAATTAAATTGCTAAATTCTTTTATCGTGTGAGGTTTCAGAATCTCTACAGATACTTAGAATAATTGCATTATCATATAAACCAATAAGATTTTGCAGGTACTGCAATTAAATCCTCAATCAATAAAAATAATTTTAAACCCTTTCCTTTCTTTATTAAATATTCAAAAATGGAGAAAATAATTAAAATTAAATTACCTTTTGTAATTTAAAACACACATATCAAAATTTCAAAAATTATTTTATTTGCAAAATGATGAATTATTTCTAATTAATTTCTTTTCAAAAAATATTTTCACCAACAAACTTTTAAGCCCGAACTACGTGGACTTTGATCCCCATCACAGGGTACGTAGGCCTCAGAGTCAGATTCTGAGTCAAGTCCGTCCTCCCTTATAAATAAATAAACATTTCTCACCTAATTCCTATCATTTTTATATCAAACACATGAATATAAAAGGAATAATTAAAATAATTATAAAACCATATTAATAGAGCACAACAAACTTCAGGTAATCGTTCTAACAAACGGGTGTTATGGGGTGCCTAACACCTTCCCTATACTCAACCGACTCTCAAACCTATTCTCTAATTTCGCAGACCATTCTTATCCTCCATTAATTGGTTTCCCGAGATTTCTCTCAAAATCTTGGTGGCGACTCCTCATTCGATCCGGTTCCTGCTGCGAAGGTCGGGACCTCCGCTCGTGCACCGTCCGCGTCGCATTTTTCTGGGTGTGACACCCAACATTCATTCTACAAGAGTTGGAGCCTAACCTTTGAGTTTAATAATTACTTTAGCCCTAAATAGCATTAATGAGTCATTAAATTCTCATTAATGGCATCATAAACTTCCAACCACCCATAATAAATGAGATTTTTAGGTATTAATGATGCCTAACAATCCAAGACACCAAAACTCATTATACTTAGGTTTATATACTCTAATCTACCACCATTAACTCCATTTGAGTCAACAAATTTAGACCCATAACCTATATGGACTAAAATCCCACTTTCACTATCAAACCCTAACCATAAACTCATAAATGTAGAAGAAATGATGAGATTAATGAGTGTAATACTTATCTTGAATGTTTGTAGCCTTCAAAATACTCCCAAAGTTGTCCCCAAGTAAATCCTAGGAGAGCTTTGACGCATCTCTTCTTTCTCTCTTTTCTCTTCTATTTCTGTCTCATTTCACGTCTAATAAACTACAGAAAATGGCCGTACGTTTTGGCAGACGCACAATGCACCATGGCACATGGCACAGAGAGGTACCCCTTTGCTCAGAAATGGCTGTGTGTCGCGGCAGACGATTTACATGCCACGGCGTATGGCACAGCAACTTCAACTCTTCCTTGTCTTCTCCTTTTGATGCCCAAGAGGCCCACCTCGATACTGGACCTACAACTAGGTTGAAATATCATCAAATATGATTATTAAACCTCTTTGGCTACACACCGCTTCAACTTACTTAGTTACCTTAATTAGATTTAATTAATCAGGGAATTAAAACTCGGGATGTTACACTTAGGATCTCATTGGCAGGATGCTGCATTTCAGGATGGATATCAAGCAATTTGATTGTGAATTTAAAAATTATTTTTGCTTTGATAGCAATTTAATTCACTAAAATACATTTAACTAATTTTCTTAATTATATATATGAAGTAGACATGGATTTATAACAAACTGTGTGCGAACATTAAAAATTATGATTTATATTTTAAATTTCATATAATTCATAAAAAGATGGCTAATTCTTTTAAAAGCAGCAATTATGAATCGCTTCATTTCTTTTCTACTAATTTAAATTAAGCAGCACAATCATAGATTGAAGAAGTTATTCATATTCACTGCTAGAATTTATAACTAAACAGGAGAGCCAATTCTCTAGTCCTTAATTGGCAATATCAAAATAACGGATTGATGAAGATATGATTTAAGGAATCATGATTAAGGGCTGGTTGGCATAGCCCGCATTTTGTATGGGTTGAATTATACCAAGCTACAGTGGGTTGGTGCGTTAGCAGGCTAACCTGCAAGAAAAAAAATAGTTTTTAAATTTTTAAAATTTTTAAAATTATAAATTTACATCTTTTTATTATTTTTTTCACAGTAAAAAAATCATCTATTTCTCCAAAAAATTAATTATTCAAATAACAATAAAAGTCTTTTTAATTAAGACATGCTTATATCACCGTTTAAATATAAATTAATTTAATTTTGTGATCCTTTTGTTCTCTAGTCTTTTACATGACTAATCAATATTATATATATATATATATATATAAATTAATAGAAATGCTCTGTCTATTCCTTTTTTCTTCATCATGTTTTGGCATTTTTGCTACAAAATTGATCCCCCAATTTAAAATACTAATTTTTTTTAAAAGACAATGATGATGATTTAAACTTTAACTATTAAAGTATTACTCATAATACATTTAGTTCATACTATCTAAAGGTTCTAATATTTCTGTATCTATTATTTTTCTTTTATGATCAAATTAAAATGATAATATAATATATGGTTAGCACTTCATAAATATGTTTAATTTTTTAAATTCAAAGGGCAACTAAACTTTTTTTATTTGGTAGCTTGGGTAGCACTATTTTACAAACAATATAATTTAAATAATCTATTATATGAATGAAACAGAGTGTAATAAAATATTTTATTCAATCTTGTCTTGATCACATTCAGATTATATTATATTACTACTTAAATATATGAGTTAGTCATTTAACTCTAATGTCATTAGTTTCATCAACAAGAAATTCCTACATTTAACTTTTAAATGTTAACAAAATATTTTAAAATATTAATATATTAAGTTTAATTATTTTAAAATAACAATGTTTAGGATGAAAAATAATTATTTAAAACTAATAGTGTTAGAATTAGAGGATTAAACAATTATTTTATAAAATTAAAGGACGAAAAATACTCTATAACCTAAAGGAAAAACAATTCTTTTTCTTGTCTGCTGGCTTGAAATTATAATTTGTGCTTTTATTAAAAGGAAAAGACACCTCTTCTTTTTACTTGTCTGTTTGAGATTATAATTCATGCTTTTATTAAAGGAAAAGCCGGTGCTTTTCCTTCAGGCACGAAAAAGCATGGATTCTTGATCCGTTTCTTTAATTAATTCCCCAATTATCAATTATCTTAATTAATTAAACCATCAAGAAATAAGCCATATGGATATAATTAATAGATATATGACAATGTATCAGGCATGAATTTTATTTAAAACATTTATATATATATATATATATATATTAATATGGCTTTGGCCTTAGGCTAGGCCTTTGATCTCAAAAGTTCTATATCCATATTTATAAAAGTATATATTATTTCAAAAAGAATAGAGTTATGTGCTTCCATATGAGTGAATTTGCAAATTGCAATCAACTTATTATCATTATTTTTTTTTAGGGTTTATTTATGTTTAGTTGGAGTTAGAGTTGAACAAAAGGTCATCTCGGCTTGTCCCACATAAATAAATTTAGATAATTCATCTATTTAATTTTCTTTTTCATCAAAACAAGTATATTTTGTTGTTAAAAAAATATAAAATTTTCGGCCATTTGCTAGTTCCTATAACCAACTTGGCCGGCAATTTTGTTAGATGAATGAGAGTGTTTTAATAGGGTGATATTGTTAATTTCTTTAATATAGCATTTCCTGGCCAACTCCAACCTGCTTTTGTGCCCACAAACACATACTATGCGCAAATGGATTAAAGTATAAAATCACTAATACTCTGAGAGTGTTTGCTCGTCACTTGAAAAGGATGAGAATGAAATTTTCATTTTAACATGATATGTTCATTGCACATTTATCCTGTTGTGTCATGTTTTTCATGAGATAAACCCAAAAAAATGTAGCAATCACAGCATACCCTTCGGCCTACAAATTTCTTGAATCTTAACTCCTAACTGTTCATGAATTAAATTACCTTTATCTTTTTATGAGAATATGATTGGTTTATTCCTTTACATTTTGATTTATCTTTATTTTTTTAGTCCATTCCATTCTCATCTTTTTAAAAACCAAACGGTGGCCTCTAAATGCTTACCCAACCAAGCATGTTCAGCAAAGGCAAGGTACTACATAGAGGTGTCAATGTACGTAGAAAAAAAATTAAAATGTTACATGCATATTCAATATAATTAAGTGAAAATATCCGCTGAAAACTCCTAGAGGTTATTTATATCAAAGAAAGACTGTAAGATTCAGAAGTTGCACTGCAGCTCCTTGGTACCCAAGTGAAATTATATTTTTATGGGAAAAGAAGACATTACCCCTAAAGTTTAAAATAATAATTAAAAAAAAAACCGCGTGCTAGAGATTAGCAACACACTATCTAGGTTTTGACAATATTCTATTCATGATTAACAACAACATATTTAAACTTTAATAAGATAGAAAAATTGATAGGATATAATTAATTGTGCAAATATTAGTCTTTCATTAATAATTATTTATTCGAGTTTTGATAACAAGTTATTCAAAATTAACAACACATTCAAACTTTAACACGTGAGTTTTTTTTTTTTTTACTTATTATTTTAAACTTTAGGGATAATGTCATCTTTTCTTATAGAAACTCAATTCCAGCCGAGTACTAAAGGATTGCAATGCAATTTTAGAATCCTATGGTCTCTCTTTAATATAAATCGCCTCCATAGGTCTATAGCTGATATCTTCTGGATGATTAATGTCACAAATCCCTCCCCGTCAAAGACTCAAGACAAAATTGAAGTTTTAGTTGCCTTATTACTTTTTAACTTTTTCCATTGTTGCCAGCTGTTTTTCACTTATTGCCAACTGTTTCAGTCAACATTCCGTCAATTTAATTTGTTTATTAGGACCATTAGGGAAATGAGCACATGCTATAATATGTCTGAGACATTGTAACCGGTGACTCTTGTATTCACGCTTCCAAGTTTCAAAAATCGAGAGTGAAAAATCTGATACAGAAACAGACATGGAACAAGCAGCAGCAGACGGAGGTAAGCGCAATTATATATCGTTAGTGTTTGTTGAATGTGTTTGGATGAAATGTGTAGCTTGAGATTTGGCCAATGAATGAATTCCAGAGATGATAGGGAAGCTATACAAGGCAATATATGAGAACAAGTGGTCCGCGGCAAAAGTAATCATAGATGCCCATCCTAGTTGCTTGAACGCACAACTCTCTGCTATAACAGGCGAAACAGCTCTTCATGTGGCTGCAAAGTTCAGCCATGTGGGCATCGTAGAGGAGTTGTTGAGATTAGTCCCACCCGAGTATCTTGAAATCCTCGATGCCCGTGGCTTTACTCCACTTATGACAGCCTCAACATATCGTGGACTCATTCCTATTGCAAAATGCTTGATCCAAAAACATAGCAATGCACTTGAAATTCCCGTTGCAGGATCTTCATGGCTTCCAGTTGCATTGGCTTTTCGGTGCGGCCACGACAAAATGGGGTGCTATCTCTATTCTCGTACTCCTTTGCGAGTCTTGAAACCAGAAAATGGCCTTTTGTCAGGTGCTACCCTTCTCAGTGCATGTTTATCCTCTGGAAATCTTGGTAACAGAACTTACATAGCTTGCAACAAATTCTAGAGAGTTATCACACAAAGTGTTTCTTTTGATACTCCATCTCTCTTTCTATATGAATAGATATTGCACTGGATTTGCTTCGTCGATGCACAGAACTGCTTTTCGCTCCTGACTATGCCGGGACCAGAGTGATTCGAAGGATTGCGGGCTTTGTTCCTAAATATTCTCTCAACACAAGTCAACATTGGTGCTGGCAGCGATGGATTTATCACTGTTAGTACATGTTTCTGCTTTCAACTGCCTCATATTTTCCTCCTACATTTTCTATATGTTGTTTGCACTTTTATTTATATGCTAGCTAGAATGCTCAACTATATATGATGACGAGTAATATTTTTTGACTGCTCATAAGTATCCTTCTATTAAAGGCAATTTTATTATTGTGCACTAAACATGACATATTGATAGTGAAGCTCAAGTTATTTTAACTTTATATCACTACTATAATTAACTATAATTCCTTAACATATACAAACTACTCATTTGAAGACTCATTGGCTTGGGGTCATATTCAAACTATGCACTTAAGACGGTTAACTGAGTCTTGAAAGCATTCACCTTCAGGCCCAAACTACTACAGAAACGACTGAAGCAGTCTCAATGACCTCAACCTGAGATAGATGTCTCTGAAAATAAGATAATATTGTTAGCAAAAAATACATGAGATATTGGAGGGCTTATTCTACCAAATCTGATAGGTTTCCTTTCCTCACCTTCCATTTTCTCCTAGATTAAATAAGCCAATTTCTCTTTACAAATGACAAAGAGGTAAGGGGAGATTGGATCTCCTTGCCGCACTCCTTTAGACGGATTAAATAAATCAGCCTTGCTACCAATAGGAATATCTTTCTAGCATTGAAGAAGAAGCTTCAATCTGGCATTAAGCAATTCATTACCATATTATTAGCAAAGATTCCTCTCACTTTTTCTATTTTAAGTCTTCAACCATATACTATTCGAGTTTTGAGCCAAACGGCAAGACCTTTTTAAATTTATATTATCCAAATTGATAGTAAAATAAATTTATTATTTTTTATATTTTTATTTTAATTATTAGAAAATTAAAAAAAATTGATCTAGACTATTTACATTATTTGGATGGTTCCAGATTGCTCATCACATGATGAGCAACCAAACCAAGCCTTTAAATTTTCATGTGGATGATATTGAGCACATCTTGTAGTGAGAAGTACACAGAAAGAGGCAAATTAAGGGTTTGTTTGTTTTCTATTTTTAAAAATTATTTTTTGTTTTTTAAAAACAGAAAAATTTAAAAATTTATTTGGATAAGTGTTTTTCATTTAGTTGTTTCCAAACTTATTTTTATTTTTTATTTTTAAAAATAAAAAAAAATTTTGTTTTATTTTTTTTGTTTTTAAAATTCAAAACATTTAATTATTGAAAATTATAGCTACCTTGATTAATTTTTATTATTAATCACAATCATCAATTACCTATAACCATCACTGTCAATCCATTTTTAATTCTAAAATTATTTTTTGATTGACATAACCAAATAGATTTTCCTTTTATTTTAAAAATAATTTTAAAAATCGTACGAAAAAACCGCTTTCAAAAATAAAAAAATGAGAACCAAAACCAAACAGGCCTCATAATCTTAAAAATTAATAGCCTCGCTCAATTAATTTGTTCTTTTATCACTCTATATTATTCAAAGAAGCTTACGTTTCTCCATCTCTGATCACATTTTGGGTGGAAGATACCAAAATACCAACCACTGCCACGGAGCATTCTTGTGTAGACACGGAACAAGAAAGCGAGAGTAACAAAGCCCGAGGTACAGTATGCTCCATCTGCTAATGAATTAGAAGATGAAATCAAGTAGGACATATGACAAAGGGTTAAAGACTATTTTTTTTCCTAAATTTTTTTTATAGTGTTGGGCTTTTTGTATTGAAGGTGAAGTAATATCCTTTCTAAACAATTTTTCTGAAGTAAAATCATCTTTCTATCAAAAACTTATCATCTTCCCTTTTCTGCTATGATGGAATAATTGTGAGACCCATGTACAATGACAACAAGACATTATAACCCATTTTGACCATGTTTGACTTTAAAGGCAAAACACTGGTAAAATAGATTAGAATGTCTTGTTTTTACTATATATGGACCCACAACTATTTCATGTCAGTAAATAACGGATAAGATGATGTGACTTTAATGAAAGGGTAATTTTGGCCTTGAAAAAATTGTTTAGGAAATATTGTCATACCTTCAATACATGGTACTCAATGCTCTTCAAAACAAAATTTAAGGAGAAAAATGATCTTTGATCCATAATAAAATATAAAAATGCGGATTAAAAATCTTTATTTTGTTCAACATACATTAAATTAATGATCAGGTTTGTCAAAATGTTAAATTTGAAATTAAATTTGTACAAGGTTTTATCTATATATACATACAAAACAAACATATGCATACATATCCTTTGTGTGTACGTGTAATCCTTTCGAATGATTGGACTGTAACAAAATTCCATCTCAACAGGGTTAAATCTACTGCACTTGCTCATCTCCCACATCTATAATTTGTCAGGTATGCGAGTGAAAAAGTTGCCCAAAGGTTGAATATATTGGATTCTTTTATTTGTTTTGTTCTCATGACTAAAAATGGACTTCAACATTAATTTGTATATATTTTGAGCGACCAATTGTCCAGGAATGAAGGAAATGTATAAGAAGAAGCTGCAACATACACAATCAGATGAAATTTTGAACTTTGTTTGTGAGAAACTAAAATTTCTGGATCAGGATAAAGAAACACATATTACAGAAGCGCTCCATACTGCAGCTAGGAATGGGCAAGCTGAGTTTTTGTTAAGAGCATTGAAATCAAACCCAGTTCTAATCACTCTTGCCACTCTTCCTGATCCAAATGGGAACATATTCTTCTCTGGTATTTCATTTCGTCAAAATGAGATTTTCAACCTCCTCCATGGGTTTCGATTTAAGGATAATGTTGTATCATTAATCAGCGCATCCTCCAGCAACACCTTTCTGCATGAAGTAGCCATGTTGGCTCCGGCTTCAAGACTGAACAGCATATCTGGTGCCGCTCTGCAACTGCAAAGAGAAATGCAGTGGTTCAAGGTTAGAAGTGAAGTATAATTAAATGCTTTTGCACGCGTGTGTGCGGGGTTTTTTGATGATTTTGTTTGACTAGATGTAACACACACAGATATGTGCGTGTGTTCGAAAAAAAAAGTGAAGAATCAAAGATTTTAATTAGATACGATTGATCAGAACTTTTTTTTAATATAGGCAGCAGAGAGTGTGGTGGCTCCCGGATATAGTTTGTTTCGGAATTGCGATTGGTTGACTCCTCTAGAATGCTTAAAAATAAATCACAAAGAACTGAGGAATGAAGGCGAGAAATGGATGAAAGATACTGCATCTTCTTGCTCAGTTGTGGGTGCTCTGATCATCACCATCATGTTTACAGCAGCTTTTACAGTTCCAGGAGGGAATGATCAAACTTCTGGGTATCCAATTTTCCTACAGGAAAAGTTGTTCAAGGTTTTCTTAATTTCAGATGCATTGTCATTGTTTGCTTCTACTACTTCTGTGCTCACATTCTTAGGAATCCTCACGTCGCGGTATGCAGAAGAAGATTTCCTTTACTCCTTGCCTAAAAAACTGATCATAGGCCTTTCTACACTTTTTCTCTCCATTGCAACTATGTTGATAGCATTTTCTGCAACAATAATCATATTGTTGGAACATAACTCGTCACGTTTAGGGGCTTTTCTCCCTGTTATTATGCTTGCTAGTGTTCCAATAACCCTCTTTGTGTTATTACAATTCCCTCTTCTTGTCGAAATAATTTCTTCTACTTATGGTCGCGGCATTTTAAACAAGAAGGTGAGCAAGTGGCCATGAATGTGTGTACTACACATCTTACCATATGTATTTTCTTTCCCTTTTTCATTTGGAGTTAAACACTACATGTATTAATTTTCTATTGAATAAATAATTTATTAGTATACTTAAAACGGATTGTGTACTGGTCACTGTGAATTCAACTTATGCGGTTCAGTCTTGAAGCAGGAGCCAACATGGTTCATTATATTGAGAGATATTATAACGTCAGTTGTTGAAGAAGGATGATAAGATGATGATAGCAAGGAGTTAATGAAGATGAGAAGTGCTAGTACACATAAAACTATTGATCTGAATACAAACCGTGAAAGTTGAATATCAGAGTAACCGTCGAATTTATATAATGACTATAAGGCGGTTATTAAAAAAAAAAAAAAGAATTTGTTGATTTACAGCTCTCCAAAATGGAACAGTATTTCAATAGATAAATTTATTTCGACCATCCAAAATGGTGTAAAACAGCATGGAGGTTATTACAGAAGGCAGAGGAATTATGAGCAAGAGTTCTCAAGAGTATTTACTTCCCTAAAAATGAAGTTGTTGATGAAAAGAAGGGCTATAAGGCGTCTTGGTGCTGGTCTAGTATTCTGGATGGTCATGACTGTTTGAGCAAGAATCTTCTTTGGGATGTTGGAGATGGAAAATCTATTAGAATATGGAATGCTAGATGGGTTCCTAATGTTACTTTTCCTGATGAACCTGAGAATAACCGTTCCTTTATTGTGGAGCATGGTAGAGTTTGTGATCTAATGGTAAATATGATGTCAGGTATGTCCAATCTGTAGTATTGAGACAGGGACCCGAGAACATCTTTTCTTCTTATGTAGTTGGGTCAGGCCTGCTCTTTGGTTTGGGTGTAGTCTTGCTGTTAGATTTTTGGAGCTTGGTGGGAATCTATTTGTGATGCTATAAGTGGTCTAACTGAGTGTGATATTGCCTTCATTTGTTGGATCTTATGGTATATCTGGAAGAAGAGAAATGGGAAAGTGTCCAATTTTACTGACCCTAGACATGAAACAGTACTTGAACTAATAGCTTCTCATAATGAATTTTGGTCTGTTTATTATACTCCCGTGCCCGATCAAGACGTAATCAGCGGTGTAGAAGAGGATGTTTGTTGGAGAGACCACCTTCTCAGATAAATCGGAATTTGCTGCTATTGAAATTATCCGTCGAAATTCTGTAGGAGCTTTTCAATGGGGTTTTATTGATAAGACTAAGTCCCTCTCCGCCTTCTTGACAGAAGCGCTTGCTCTATCTAAAGCACGCCTTGATGCTTGCTAATGATCTGGGACATGACAAGATTATATTTGAAACTGATTGTAAACTCCTTGCCAATTGTATCTCCTTTAATCAGTCTGATGATTACTATGATTGGAAGTGTAGAAGTATCATTTACGATTATATTGCAGAGCTCTAACGTCTAAGGTTGGGTTTTCCTTGAATTTTACTCCTAGATGGGGTAATCAAACAACTGATGTTTCACCCGTACAGTTACTTCCCCTATCTCTATAAGGCCGTTGGGTAAGGAGATTCTTAGAGATATAGGCCTAACTAGAGGCCCCAACCTCTGCCTTTCTCCCTTCTAAGACTTCAAGGCCTGAATCAAGACTAGGTTTGAAACTCAAGTCAGGATAGCTTTTAAGGAAGTGTGCCTGATCGGGTGGATGAACGAACCAACACTTTCTTTGTCTGATATTCTGACCTCGGATGCGGTTGCTGCTCTCAAGTCATTCCCTGTCACTTCTGCCCCTGATGATGTAGTTGGCGCTGATTGAGTTCTTTTGTTGTTTCTTTATGTTCCGTCATTTTTTTTTTCTTTCCTCTTGTTCTTGTAGGCTCCTTTTTTTTATTGCATTGTTGCGAACATTTTTCTTGAATGAAAGACAGAGTGTATTCAGATCAGAGTTGAATTGGAGTTTGGATTTGGTTTCTGAAAATCGAATTTCATTTTTCTTTTCAACGACACCCTCATTATATGAGTTTGGAGTTTATTTTCAATGCTATCACATTTGTTATTACCATGTGAGTATGCTAACTCTCAATGAAATATTTAAGTTTACTTTTATATTATTTAATACTTTAATATAATTTTTTGCATATACTGTACATAATATTATTTTTAAATTTAATTATTATATCATAAGTTGAATCCTCCATTGAATTAGTTTTTTAAAATTTATTTTAATTATTGATTTGGTCATTTAAGTTTATTTTTTTATCAATTTAGTCTTTTAAATTTTTTTCAATTATCAATTTGGGTTAACATAGATAACAGAATATCAGTGGCAGTCATGTAGGTTTATGAAAAATATGAAATTATTTAGGTAGAAAAAATAAACTTAGAAATTTTAAAAAATAAAGAACAAATTACAGTGTAAAGAACTAGATTAATAAAAAGAAATTGATTTAAGAGCTAATTTATTTTTATTTAGCTATATATACATGCCAATTCATCAAAATACTTTACATTAATTTTTAAACTTAAAGGACTAACATTATAAGTTAAGAAAGTGTAAGAGACTAAATCAATAAAAATTAAACTTGAAAAACGAAATCAATAGTTGAAATAAATTTGAGGGATTAAAGGTTCCATCATCACAAAAAGTAATGTTAAACTACGTGTTTAGGGTCAGTGAGACAAAGGAGGATTTTTAAAAAATTCAAATACTCCTTGACTCCTGTCATTGAAATTGTGGTTTTATTAAGGAATATATATATATATATATATATATAAATCACCCTCACTGAAGTTTATATTGATGTTCTTGTTATGCTTAAGTCTTCATAATGTTTCATTCATTCATTTCTTAAGTAGATTTCTTCTTTCTTTCTTTTTTCCCTTATGGCATATTAATTTTTATATATATTTATATTTTTTTTTTCCAAATGCTCCTCTTTTGTGTACTTTGAGGAGATCGATTAATCACATGCCATTTGCACTTGAGACTTTAATTAATTACAATCTTTTTGTTGCCTTGTTAAACACTTGGACGTAAGTCATGTTATGTATTTTTTTTTTAATAGATTATGGATGTTATTTCGTGTTCCACTATGGATATTGTGTTCAGACTTGTTCATCTTTCAAGCTAGAAACTTGTACTTTGATGTTGTGGATTTAATTAAGGAGTATATATATTGTATCATAATATTTATATTTATTGTAAAAGTATTGAATATGTTTGCTTCTTAATATGTTATTTATCATGCTTGATTTAATGATATTTTCTTTACATATGATGGGCGAGGCACCGCCAATTAGCAAGGCAGCCAGATTCTGCCCAGCCTATAAAATGCTGGGGATATCACTGGCAAGCCTGGGCAGCATGCTGCATTTCGGGATGGAAATCAAGAAATTTGATAGTGAATTTAAAAATTATTTCTGCTTTGGTACCAATTTAATTCACTAAAATACATTTAACTAATTTTCTTAATTATATAATATGAAGTAGACATGGATTTATAACAAACTGTACGCGAACATTATGATTTACATTTTAAATTTCATATAATGCATAAAAACATGGCTAATTCTTTTAAAAGCAGCAATTAAGAATCGCTTCATTTCTTTTCCACTAATTTAAATTAAGCAGCACAATCATAGATTGAAGGAGTTATTCATATTCACTGCTAGAATTCTAACTAAACAGGAGAGCCAATTCTCTAGTCCTTAATTGGCAATATCAAAATAACGGATTGTGAAGATATGATTTAAGGAATCATGATTAGGAGTCAGGACAGCCAAAAAGCACATAACAAATTGTTATTTAAAAGATGATCATTGAGCAGTGAGCACATCTCCGGAATCTAAAGCTCTATTGAGCAGTTTCTAACAATATATATATATATATATATATATATTTTAAAAGGGAGTTTAATTCTCGATAGATTCACCCATAAATCTACAACACTAGAATTCAAGTCCAAAATATTTTGCAAGTGAATTATGAAACATTCACTACTAACAAAAAAAAAAACCTTACAAATGATGTTTCTTATTGGGCGATTGTAAGTATAACCATCTAATATGTGGAGGTGGAGGCAACTATTAGACTATTACATTGTAATTGTTCAATATTTCTGACATATATTGAATGATTGAAGCTTGTCTTTATCTGTTCTAATGATGTCTTTGTCTATCTTCATAATGTCTTTGCTCATCATGATACTAGTCTCAAGATTCAGCAACAGCAAGCTCGAGTATTAGCTTTGTACTTTGAGGCAAAACAGCTTATTGTAGGGATGTTATTTTGTATACATAACGTGCAAGGGTAAGATTAGTGGTATTTTAATGAATTTAATTTGTATTTTTTTTAAATTTCATGACATGTGCTTCTAAATTAAGGATTGTGAATTGTAACATCTTAATTTTTAGATAATAAATAAATTGTGAAATTGAGGCTTTATTGAGGATTTAAAATTTAGGAATTTATATTGTTTGAGGTTTAAATTAGGAAATAAAATTTTCATTTAAAATTATTTGGAGTTAACCATTTGTTTAGGCATCTAATTATGGATTAAATTAGGCTTAGAGTTACATTAGAGTGTAGGTTAGGGTCCAAAATATGTAATTGGGCCAAATTGGATCCAAAAGGGCACGTAGAATCGGCCTATGAAGCATTTGACCACGCACAAACGAGTACAACACAGTGCTGAACCACGCGCGGACACAACTTAAGGCCAAGACCGTCACGACTGTGCATAGACGAGTGTGTTAAAGGGGTCCATGTTCCATGTTTCAGCCAAAAATGTGAGAGGGAGAGGAAACCATAGAGAGGGCTATTTTGGTTTTTTAGGTTATGCAATCATTTTAGGTTATGCAATCACTTGAGGTGAGTTTCTAATCACCCATTCTACCTATATTTCCTAGAGATATAAGTTGATTTTCACATTAGAGTTTCTTATGTAAAATTCAAACTTGTGATGATTTTAATTGTTGAGATTATTGGGAGTATAATAAATATTATAAAATATTTTATTTGAGGTTGGAATTTGAATTGGAGAATTTTGAGTTAAACCCTAGACTTCTATAGTTGAGTTTATGTTTAATCTTAG